AGAAAAAAAGACAAGCTGCTCTTCCTGCAGCAGCATTCAAGGCCCCCTCCCTTCCCTGGAACTGCCTCGCAAATAGGCATTGCAATCAGGAAGATTCAGAGCCAGTAGGAATCTGACTGACTGCATGGAATACTAATTCATCTCCCTACTGAAGTGGTACCTATTTATCTACTCACATAGAACATGCTTTTGAACGGTTAGTTGGACAGAAGTTGAGATAAGTGACGGGAGCTCACCCTGCCACATAGTGCTAGGACTTGAATCGTGGGACCAGAGACCATCTCCAGTGTCATTAAGCCACTGAGCCATCACACCTCCTAGCCAAGGATTGATGTTCTAGATTATAGTCCAACTAAATGGAAATTGAGATGTGAGTGGACAGGGAGAAGAGAGAACTGACATACAGAAAATGTTTTGAATGTTGAGCCTCCCAATTTTCAATGTGATGTAAAATGTATTATTCAGTAGTCTAAAATTACTGCTGTTCAGTTAATTCAGTGTCCATTTTTTTTAATCCCACATGCAGTTTGATTGGATCACATTTCTTTCAAATCACGTTCAAAAAGGTCTCTTTGACAACCATCCTTCTGCCCATAAATGTCAAATACTATGTTCCGAAGCTTATTAAAGGTCAGAGACATGGAAAATTCAGAGAAGGAAAGGATGAAATAACCCCATAGAGATTTAAAAGGATTTAAAAATTTAAATCCATTTGGATTTCTAAAAATGATAAGCAATTCACTATTTATAATTTTCTCTAATAAATAATAGGAAGATATAAATAAATGTTAATATCATGCAAATAGCTCTTAATGGATAAATGATATTCAATTATTCCAATTTTTAACTGAAATGAGACAATCCAGTTGGCCACTGAACAGAATGCCATCTATAGACTGGGTGAACAGTGCTTCTATCACAACAGTTCATTACATTACCTTACAATAGGTTGAGTCCTGAGCTGCTTTTACCTAACCCAAGATAAATGTACAACAAATTATTCTTAAGAAAACCCTTAACATAAGCAGAGTATTGGGTGGTGACTAAAGTGCTGGACAAGAGATAAGGATGTGTGCATTAGTCCTGCCTTAAACAGGACTTTAGAATTTTGGACTTTAGAATTTTCCAATCCAATTCTCCTTACTAGATTGTTGTGGAGAAAATAGGAAATGGAAGCATTATATATATCACCTTAAGTTGCATAAAATAAAGGATGAATGTAATAATCTATATAAATAAAAATGTAAATGTTCGTTTGTTCAAAATCTTAAATCTCCGAAAGTTCTTCACCGATTGCTTTGAAATTTTGACACAACGTTGCATTCGAATACGTGCATGTTTTTATATACCTATATTATATAGATGTCATACCTGTGACAGGTAAAAACATGCTTTTTTGAAAAACAGCACCATCTGTTGGATGTAAAAGCAACACACACTTTTACCAGACTGAGCCACAGCAACGCGTGGCGGGTACAGCTAGTAATTAATAATAACAATAACCCATAACTGCTCTGAAAGTTTAGAATGCTCTCTGCACGAGCAAGAAAGAGAGCTGTGAAAATATCTACAGACCCCTCACATCCTGGACATAAACTGTTTCAACTTCTGTTTCAACTTCTTCCCTCAAGACGACACTATAGGGCATTGCACACTCTGCTTAATAACTAACACTGTCAAAATACTTAGTAAAGCTGTATTACTATGATACTCATCTTTCCTATTACCTATCCTTATCTTCTTATGACTATAACTTTGCAGCTTGTATCTTACAATTTATATTTTTTTTGTACCCTAGAATGATTTATGTTGTTTGGGGAGAAATTGGATAGTTTCAGTTTGGTATTAAAATGGAAATTGGAAGTTGGACCAAATTCTTGGAAGTATGATGAAGTTTGTGTGTATAGTCATTAGAGGCTCTTAAGAAATTAATAGAAAACAGGACATAAAGCTGATAGGCAGTACTGAACAGTGAGAATTTGGAGGCTTTAAGAACAGAATTTTCATTTCAATATTCAAAAATTAGATTTAGCCCATTCTTTAAAAACTCAAAATGCTCTCCGCACTTGTGGTTTGGAGCTTCAGTGACTGCAAAACACATCATGACAGGAGTTCTGAATCAGTAATTTGAACACTTTGAAATTCCCTAATTGAAAAATTCTCTTTGAAGTTGGTGAAAATCAAGGAAAGGTGAAAGATAAATTAATCATCTTAACTAACAAACTGGTGACTTCAATGCAGATTAAAAATAGAACAGGTAAACAAGAGCAGTAAAATATCTACATCTCATATTCATATTCATATTCATAAGAATATGGACAGTTTAAGGATGACTTAATCAGCAATTCCCTGTATGATGGATCCTTTGAAATCTCTGCACTGTTGATCCCTGTGGAAATAGGTCATTTGAAGGAATTCCAAGTTTTCAATAAAGCATCAAAATGTACACATCTGAATTTAATTAAATTCAAACCTTATATATATCAGGATATACCTTTTGGGGCACAGCAAACTGTTGAGAATGTCTGTGGATTTCATACCATTTTCATATAGTGCAAGAAAGACAAAGAGTTAACTTCCTATAATGAATTTTGGAGCAATATTGCCCCCAATATTGATGTTTCTGCCAATACACCTGGAACCACACTTCTTTCTCACTTTCAAAACTGATGTGAGATTTGACAGACTAACATTGTTTATATGCTTATTGATTAAAGGAAGCATATGATAAGGTGAACAGGCTTGGATTATGAAATATTTTGCAAAGATATGGAATTGAATATTGGCTGTTGAATATGGTAAAAGTGGTATATGATGGAAGTAAAGAATGAGTGACAAAAAGTTGAGTGCTTGACAAATGTTTCAACATTGAGAAGGGAATAAAACAAGGATATGTGATGATCTTATGGTTGCATAATATATTGATGGATAAATGTATGCTTGTGTTCATTAGAGGTAAGTTGCTTATGGATTTCAGCATGTGTGCACTGCTGTATGTACACAATGCAATGTTGGTTGCAGAAAACCTGAATGGTATAAAATGTGTGTTAGATTATATGATGCAGTGAGAAGAATGGATCTGAAAATGAATACATCAAAGACAAAGTTAGTTGTGTTCCACAGATAAAATGATTGATTGAAAGACAGCCAATCACATATATATATATATATATCACTAAAAGCTGCAGGAAGATAAAATCATGTTCTTGGGTAGAATGTTTATTAAAGTTAAAAAATGGATTGTAAAATCAATTCTTTCTTGATTATTTATATTGTGGTAGCTTTATAGTCGTTCTACTGGAGCTCAATTTGTGCAAATACTGGGATAAAACTCTCAGTGCTAAAGCAAGCAGCAGGACTCGTTTTAAAGTTTATACGGCACAGAGCAATTATTTCAAAATATGAGAGACATATTTCAGTTTTCTGAAATTAAAAACAATACAAGAATTAAAGAAAGTGCAAACAATTTTGTGTATCTCTGTACAAACACACACAGCATTTGTTATAATAATACTCCTTGGAAAAATGGCTTTTGACCACCTCCACTTTTTTATGTATCCACATGGATTTAGTCCAGTATTAAAAATTAAAGCAAATGGTAGAAGTATTAAATTAGAAAGACACACACTCTCTCTTTCTTTCTGTCCTATTCCAGTTTGAAGTGGTTTCAGTATTTGGAATCATACATAGTCTATGTAAATGGAAAGGAATGGAAATTATTTTTGTTATTCTAGGTATAAGACCCAACTAATGTTTTGAAGCTAGAATGAGAAATGGAGCTGGTTTCTTTATATTACTTCTCTGTCATTGGCTCCAATAGGAGAAAAAAAATACTATGAGTTCTAAGTACCTAGTCCTAACCACATTCTGATGAAAGCAGTATATAGCATTCTGTATATTCATAGCTTTTATAGCAGATCTAGTTCATGATGGAGCTAGTTGCTTACAGTAGTTCTCCTATTTTGTCTATGACATCCATAATATTTGTATATGCTTTATGGAAAAAAATCTCTTTAATGTATATACATCAGTGAAAAAGCCTTTCCAATCTGTATAGCATATTAGTGTAAAAACAGGTTACGTTTTTACAGCTTTCTTGAAAGCAAAATGTGACTATTTGCAATGGTCCTTAATCACTACTCCAGGAGGGTAATAAGATCATTGGGTTAAAATGACCAAGAAGTTCCTTCTGTAAACAAGTGGCCATTTCACATTAATCTCTACACTTAACACTGTTCACAAATGGCCAGTCACAGCTATTGTTATGTTGACTAAATACACTGAAAGATGATAGCAATTTCCTTTCTGGTGAAAGGAATAGACTGAATAGAGCTGTGCCTGGTGGAACTGGTCTGTGTTTGGAAACCAAGCAGAGTCAGGTCTGGTTAGTAATTGGATAGCGTACCATGAAAGAATGGCAGAGGTGTAGGCTAGGTGGGAAGTCAAAACCATCTTTATACTTTTATCAGAAATATTGCAATGTTGTCATAAGGTCGAGGCCAGATTCATTTTGCCTCCCATCTCAAATCCTATAAAAGTTAGAAATCATTTAAAAAAAAAAGACTGGGGGTCTGAGGTAACTCATGGTCCCCCTAAGATTGTTGGCTGGGAGGCTGCAATCCTTTAACCCCAATTTTTAATCCAGGATTCGCAGCCTCCCTTACATACCCCTCAAAGGCCTCACTTTTGGCTCCACAACTAGTGCAGCAAAATTGGCATTAAGAGTAGAGATTTGAGTTGCTTCATCAAGGAAACGTCCAACAATAATTCTTCAGAAGGCAGAAAGGGAAATCTGTTCCAGCCAATGATCTTCCCTGCTACCCTATTTGTAAGGAATATAGCAAAATATTCAGCCTTTGGACAAAGTATGTAATGTTCTGTTGTGAATGTATTAATGTTATTCAATTGTTTTCTTAAATGCCATGAATAAATGGTTCAGGATCCAAGCAAACTTAAAAAATGAGGGTACAAATTATTCATAGTCACTTTTTTTCTCCATTTTAGTTGCCAAGCCCATCTTCTTCTCTTTTCCTGTATGCTTTGTTTAGCATTTGTATTTCTTCTTGATAACCCTCTTTTTCCAAGTGCTGCTTTTTACTATTCTGTCTGTGAGCTTCGACAGTGTCAGGAATGGATATGTTCAGATCACTGTTGGGATTGCTTGATGGTATGAAGAGTGAATAAGATGCTGTTTCTCCTAAATCACATGAGACAAATCTATTTTCTTTCCGAGAATAACGTAAGGATGGAGACCGGACCTGGGCAGAGGATTGGCTAATATTACTAATGATGGAAACGGTGTCCATGGCTTCTTCATTGTCACAAATTTCAAGCACCTCTAAGTGAATCTTCACGTTGGTGTCAGTAAATGTGGTTGGAGAATCCTCAGGATTTGGCTCATGGCCCACACTCTTGGAGCGATACACTTCAATTTTCTTGGATGCGGGAGTGATTTTTTGTCCTTCTGAGCTTACCTCATATGTAGATAAAGAGAGGGTTTTTCCCGTGGGAGCTTGGAGAGACACAGTTCCTTGAAATGCACACAGAGGAATAGCTAAGGCACCACCTGAACGCTGAAATGAGAAAAATTGCTATTATTTAATGTTGCTGCCACAAGCGAAAAACAGTTGTCAACAATTCAATTACATCTCATTATTTTTACTGCTGTGTGTTGAGAATACTTTTTAAAAACCTTAGATGTAATTGATGGTATAAAAAACATACTTCTTTATACACAGTTCTTATTCTGAATGTGTGAAACAGAATTTATCTACCGTGTATTGACTCCTTCTGTTTCCCACATAATTGCACAAAACTCACTATTCCCTTTTACGTTTTAACCATTAAGACAATTTTGTCCTTGCAACACCTGTCCAATGTTGTCCGAATTTGGAAGCTAAGCAGAATTAGCCCTGGTTAATACTTGAGCAGAAGATCTCCAGAGAATACCATAGCTATATGCTGTTATTCTAAAAATGATGCAAAGTTACCAGATCTTCATAATGAAATAATTATCTTCCTGGACAAAGAACTTCTACCCATTAATTTCATTTGCTCATTTGGGATGTATCAAGTAATAATTATTAATCAGTTAGTTGATTATGTTGATAAATTAATTGGTTGATTGGATCGGAGTATATAATTTTATAAACTAAAGGCAAAAAAATACAACATGTAAATAAACTGGGCCAAATAGCCACTTCAGCCAGATATTCCTCAATGTACAACTAGTTGCTTAATGACCATTTGAAGTTATGACAGACTTTCCCAGAGCTATTTATGACCCTCTTTCGGCTCAGGAAAACTGCACACCCCTGTGGTCACATGATCACACTTTAGGTGCTTGACAACCAGTTCACTTTAATGGCTGTTTGTAGCATCCTACAGTAACGTGACCGTGATTTGCACCATTTTTTTGTCAGTTTTTTATTTTTACCTCTGTATTCCAGCAATAAATGGGGTAATTAAGGTTTGCTTAACAGTTGCTTAATGCTGAACAGAATGCTGAGTGCTGAACAGAATGACTGTTGTAAAAATGTAATTTTGAACCCAGCCATATAATGCCTTGACTTATGATCATAATGACTTATGACTACAATTTTGGGTTTAAAATAATTATGGTTGCAAATGGAGGACTACCTGTATCTCTGCAGTATAAAAATATACAAAATATATTTGCAATATAAAAATATATGAAAGATGAATTCATTTTCATTTTCTCTTTTCATTATCCAGGCTGTTGAAAGTGCAGAAAGTTTTATTATTTTTAAAGTCAGGAAGAGAGAGAATCAACTTTAAGAGATCAAGGCGACAATCTGATACACACTTATCTGGAAAGAAAAACATCTCAATCTACTCCTGAATACACATGAGTAAGCTTAGCTTATAGGAGATACGAACAACAAGAACAAAAATAGACAGATTTCTGTGCTTTAGGGAATGAACAAATTGTGCTTTTTTCAGAAAAAAATATAATCATCAGTACTTTTTTTTGTACTGAGACCTACACCTCCAATACATGGATCTGTTTTGTCTTTCTAGTCAGTGTATAAAAGCAGGTCAAGAGAAAATGTGTGTAAAAGTCTGAAAAGTATATCTAGTCTCACCACTGAAATTGGTAATCCAAATGGTGAAGAAGTTATGAAATGTTATTGAACTGTGGTGGTGCAGTGGTTATAAAGTAGTAAAACTCTGCCCACATCCAGGAATTCAATCCTGACTGGCCCAAAGTTGATTCAGCCTTCCATCCTTCCAAGGTCAGTAAAATGAGGACCCAGATTGTTGTGGGCAATATGCTGACCTCTGAAACCAAGGTTTTTCCATGGACCAGAGGGGATGTGGTTTTGAATACTGCCTGCATCCCAAGGATGGAGCTTTGCTTGTTTGTGCGGCCCACTTGCTGACATGCTGCAGACCGGTGCTGGTCCATGGACTGGGGGTTGGCGACCCCTGCTGTAAAGCACTATGAAACAGTATATACTGTAAGTCTTGCTATTGTATCCCAGACAAATTGATGTAAACTGCAGTGTGTGGGATGTCATTTAATGCTAAAGAAGCACCAGCTGTAAACACTGAAGGATTCCTTTGTACTTGATTTTTTTTTCTAATATACCTTTATATTCATGTCTACAGCTTGGAGCCTCTATCTAAAATCTGTTCAGGACATACACTGACTGAGATGAAATGCTCAAACACCAGACTGGATACAAAGGGAGATTTTGACTTCAGGTTTTGATAATTAGATTTCTGGCAAAAAGCAGTCAATGTTGCAGGCTATAAAAAAATTCAGGAGCAGGAGGAGCACTTCAAGTGAATGAAATGTGAATCTTGTTGAACAGAATGGAAATCTGAAATCATCCCTGAAAAGCCTTTTTGGTACAGTTTCTGTAATGAAATGTGTGGATGACTTTGGGGGATAAGGAAGAGATGCTGCCTAGAACAGGGGTTCCCAACCCCTGGGCCATAGCCTACTACAGGCTGCAGCCTGTTCGAAACCGGGCTGTGGGAGAAATAGTCAAGTGTGTGTGCATGAAGTTTCACTCGCCTGAGTGGCGGGCAAGCATGTGCACATGTACAAAGTTTCACTCGTGTGAGTGGAGCACAGTTGAGCTCGCACACAAAGCTCCACTTGCACGAGGAAACAATTAGACAAGAGAGGGAGTAGCCCCCAATGGATAATAGTAAAGTAGAATTAGCTCATCTAGTTGTGTTTCCTGTCTGGTTTACACAGGTGGACTGACAGTTTCTAATTATGCAATTGTGTGTAAAACTATTCTTTTAAGCAAGAACTACCAGATATATTTGGGAGATCTGTTCTTTTTTTCTGTTGTTAACCATGCCCTTTTATTGTTCCTCCTTTCTTCCTTTCTGCTCTCTCCTTGGAGAAGGAAGGAAGGAAAGAAGGAAGGAAGGAAGGAAGGAAGGAAGGAAGATGTTGCTTTTATTACTCTGAAAATTTTTATGGACAATCCTATAATGAAAACATCCATGAAAAACAATGACAATGTCTATGTGGAACTATTTAGTTTAAAGAACATCTTTCATTTTCCCTGGTGTTGAGTTATAGTCTTCTTTCAACTTTTCTTTCCACATATTTCTCCACACGAATATACTGCAGTGCTGCTCAGCAAGTGGAAAAAAGGACTTGGAGAGAAGATGAATGGAAAGAATAAAGGATAAATGGATAGATGGGATAATTGTTTGGGCATACTTTACATTAATTCATTCACAAGCCAAGCACTTTCCACTCTTGCAGTCTATGTATAATCACAAGCTCGCATTCCTGTAACATAGTTAGAAAATGGGACAATGAAGCAAATCACATAGAAGGAAGGATGGAATTGTATAGTTGAAAGCTAATTTAATTTTCACAGGAACCTACCACATACAGTAATCTGGGTTTAGTTCTATTCAGCCACTACTTGGAAGGAAAACTTTGCTCTGAGCGAGAGAAATACTATCAAACACCAGAGTAATTTTTCTTCAAGTTACAAGTCTGAAGAACTACATTGATTTGTTCCTGATGAAAATACTGAAAATGTCCAAATGAACCCTTGAAGAATATTTACAACTTTGTTCCAGCAATATTCTTTGTTTCTATGTTTCTTCTCATCTGCCTCTCCCAATAAATCAGGTCATCACTATTTTCTTGTTTGACTGCTTCAAAGGGATATAATATTGACTGTCTTGTGCTAGTAATTTTACAAGGGTAATTATCCATAGTGTGAAAATGTGAGCATATTCTCCTGTCCTAATATTATCTATATAAAGATAAATATAATATGGTCATTAGTTCTGTCTTCAGAGCTTTTTTATATAAAAAAGTATTTTTTTTCCTGAGAGCTGCCTAGATCTCTGTGGTGATTGGCAAGCTAAAAATATCCTGAGTGCAACATTTTGGAGATGGGGATAGAGAGCTTTGGAGTGATGTGCACCAGGCATTAGTCCATAAAATAGCTACTGTATTCACAGTAGGACAAATGTTTGGGACAAAAACAAAGGTAAAATTTGATGGAATGTACTTGATATTTAAATGAATTGAAATTATATAAAATAATTACTGTGGAGTTAAATTCCTTTTTCTTATCAAGAAAGGATGGAGAGAACCAAGGGGAGAGAATCAGTTGGATAGCTAGCAGCGAATATAGGAAAGTATTAGAGGAACAAATCTGGTTTCTCTGTTCAGAAACCAAAAGAAAGGCTTTGTATTGTATTGAGAGCAAGCAACTAAATTTCATTTTTAATGTATGTGCCCACAGTAAAAAAATGACAGCAAGGTTATCTTACCTTACCTTACCTTACCTTATCCTACCCTACCTTACCCTACCCTACCCTACCCTACCCTATCCTATCCTATCCTATCCTATCCTATCCTATCCTATCCTATCCTATCCTATCCTATCTTACCTTACCTTACCTTACCTTATCTGACAACTGAGATTGACCTAGACAGCAGTGACTATTATAGATTGATGGGTTTAATGAAGAGTGGAGATAGCTGATAATCCTAAATGTGACTAGACAGTGCTATACTACTGAAGCTTTGTTTTGCTTCCAGGATATTATTTCAAGGTGAATGTGAAGACTCCTGAAAGAGACCGGCCCATGATCCAGAAAAATGTATCAGACAAAGAGGGGAAAGCTTTTAACCATTAATTACCAGTGAGAGAAATATTTGGTTTATTTTTCTTAAACCATTGATGAAAGAACATATTTGTACACAATTTCTATTTTGTGTATTCAAGTAACTACTTTGAGGAAGGGAGTACATTTGATTGAACTTCTCAGTGATGCACAATTCTTGTCCAAAAGACAATTGGACTTTCTTGGTTTCTTTTTGCCCCCTTGAAAATGTTTCACTTCTCATTCAAAAAGCTTCTTCAGTTACTAAAGAGTAAAAGAGTGATAGTGCAGCACCAAAGAGATATCCCTCAGATATCTTAGTTGACTCCCAGATAGAAAAAAGACTAGGAATGCCACATGATCAAGAGGAATGTGGAGGAATTTGTCAGGAAAGTTAGGTAGAGCAAGATACTACAATTAAAAACTACAATTTCATGGCAATATTTACAGC